GCCAAGCGTATATAAGAACATAAGCAGGCAGTGTAATACTAATAGGGTACCTACCATGATGTCTTAATTGTCAGTTTCCTCTTACCGGGTTAACGCAAACACTCTGGCCGTTCCCCCTTTGCTTTGTTCGTTGTCCCGTTTTGGTGGAGGGTCATGGCAATTGGTAGCAATATGACCATGCTTTCCACATCGATAGCACACATTCTTTCCATACCAACACTCGCCTCTATGTGTCTTATTGCACTTAGGGCATGGAGTAACATTATTATTCGGCTTGCTCGACCCTGACCACCTTTCAAAGCTAGTCCTCTTGTTTTGCCCATTTCCTTTACCCTCGTTTGGTCCATTCCATTTCCTCTTTCCTGAAAATTCAGTATTTTCTCATGTTGTCTGATCGATTTCTAATTGATTCGAAATCGCATGAGCTCTTTGTAGAACTTGACTATACGAGGTGAATTCATGGGATGCCATGATTCCTGTGATTTCTGGGCGAAGTCTGAGTACGAACCTTCTAGCTTTCTTTTGCTCTGTATCTACTAGATGTGTCGCGTACCTAGAAAGCTGTTCAAACTTCCTCTCATAGTCGATTAATGCCATTTTTCCTTACTTCAGTTGCAGGAATTCCGACTCCTTACGGTCTCTTAGGGCTTGTGGGAAGTATTTTTCCATCACCTCCTCCTTAAAACGTGCCCAAGTAAGGTTTCTCTGTTGTGCCTCAGTCCTAGTGCGTGAAGCGGACTCCCACCAGTGGCCTGCCACATCCACTAGCATGAACTCCGTACATAAAACCTTTTGGGCATCAGTGCAGCTGAGATGCTTGAAGATTCGTTCCAAACCCCTTATCCATTCTTCGACTGCTAAAGGACCAGTCATCCCGTTAAAGCTAGGGGGCTTATAACGGCGAAACTGCTCCACAACTGAGCTCGTCATGTTGGAGTTAGTTTGTACATTCTGAGGGGCCGCTTGTGTTTCCTGCCTACCAAGATCTTGTACAGCTTTCAACAAGTCCTTAAACATAGCGGCTTGTGTTGGTTGACGTGCCATTTTCTTTAAATCAATCGAATAAATTTCGTTTTAGAAATAGTGAATAACAACTCAATATATTCGAATGAAAATCTCAGTTTTAAAATTTTAAATCCTATAATACATGAGGGACGATTAAATCATAGACGATGAAGAAAAAAAACCCACGGATTATTCCAAATACTGATTACATGCCCGAACAAGATCATTTATTTAAACTGAACTATCTCCTATTCATTAGTCTTCATCTTCACTTATCCAACCATTTTGAATCCTACAAAGCTTGGTTGGAGGGGCTTCATCATCCGAGGTTATACATGACTCAGGCTCTGATTCCTGGTCAACCTCTAGTTCAGGGCCTAGTTCGAACTCTAGCTCATGCGCTAGTTCTGGCTCCTATCCTAGTACGTACTCTGGTTCATCTTCTGGCTCCAACTCAGATTCATAATTTGGCTCCTCTTCTGGGTCTTCCTCGGGGTCCTCCTCTGGTTCAAGTTCGGGCTCAAGGGTAGAAATCCACCTATCTAGGAAAGT